CAGCGTTCCGAAGCAGCTGGGATTACAGGCACACGCCACCATGCCCAGCTAATTTTTTTGTATTTTTAGTAGAGATGGGGTTTCACCATGTTGGCCAGGCTGGTCTTGAACTCCTGACCTTGTGATCCACCCTCCTTCGCCTCCCACAGTGCTGGGATTACAGGCGTGAGCCACTGTGCCTGGCCAGGAAAGGCTTCTTTTAACAAAATATTTAGTTATATTACATCTTTGTTTCATTTAGTAAGTTTTTTTTTTTTTTTTTTTTTGGGGGGGGTGGGTGGTAAGATTGACTCAGTGAAAGATGGGACGTTTTCATGCGGTGGTGAAAATGTGAAAAATGCTATTTCGTATAAGGTATTGTGTAAAGATTTATTTCAGTATGTTTTGTGATTTATCCTGTTGCAGACTTTTTTATTTTTGAGACGGAGTTTCACTCTTGTTCTCAAGGCTGGAGTGCAATGGTGCAATCTCGGCTCCCTGTAACTTCCACCTCTGGGATTCAGGTGATTCTCCTGCCTCAGCCTCCCAGGTAGCTGGGATTACAGGTGTACACCACCATACCCCGCTAATTTTGTGTATTTTTTTTATTTTTGAGGCGGAATCTCACTCTGTCGCCCAGGCTGGAGGGCAGTTGCATGATCTCTGTCACTGTAACCTCCGCCTCCTTGGTTCAAGCAATTCCCCTGCTTCAGCTGATTTTTTTGTATTTTTAGTAGAGACTGGGTTTCACTATGTTGACCAGATTGGTCTTGAACTCCTGACCTCAGGCAGTCTGTCCACCTGTTCCTCCCAACGTGCCAGGATTACAGGCCTGAGCCACCATGCCTGGCCATTTTTTATATTTTTTGTAGAGATGGGGTTTCACCATATTGGCCAGGCTTGTCTCGAGCTCCTGACTTCAGTGATCCATCCATGTCAGCCTCCCAGGGTGCTAGGATTACAGGTGTGAGCCACCATGCTCGTCCACAAACTTTTTAATATGTTGGAGAGGTGGAGTATTTTTTTTGGTTTTCCTGGAGGAAAGAATGTTGGGAAGCATCATTTTTGGAAGATATGATAGTTGAAAGAAGAAATGGTAGAAAGAGAATTATTGAATCTGCGGATCTAGTAAGACCCCCAAATAAGGGACATGTTTGCCTATTGGTTGCCTAGCACAGAGTTAATAGTAGATAATGCTATATATTATCAACTCTTAAAAGAAAAAGCATTCTGGCCAGGTGCAGTGGTTCACGCCTATAATTCTAGTACTTTGGGGAGGCAGAGGCGGACAGATCACAAGTTTAGAAAATTGAGACCATCCTGGCTAACATGGTGAAACCCTGTCTTTACTAAAAATACAAAAAATTAGGCGGCCATGGTGGCAGTGTGTGTCTGTAGTCCCAGCCACTCCGGAGGCTGAGGCAGAAGAATCCCTTGAACCTGGGAGGTGGAGGTTTCAGTGAGCCGAGCTCATGCCACGGCACTCCAGCCTGAACGATGGAATGAGACTCTGTTTAAAAAAAAAAAAACCAAAAAAACCCCATTCTTCTAAGGAAAATAATGATATTTTTAAAAAGGAGATACACATAGTGTTTTAAGACTTTTTTTTTTAAAATAGTGTAAACTAGTGTTTTAATTCCCCTAAATTATTATTATTATTATTTTTTTTTTGGGACGGAGTTTCGCTCCTGTTACCCAGGCTGGAGTGCAATGGCGCGATCTCGGCTCACCGCAACCTCCGCCTCCTGGGTTCAAGCAATTCTCCTGCCTCAGCCTCCTGAGTAGCTGGGATTACAGGCACGCGTCACCATGCCCAGCTAATTTTTTGTATTTTTAGTAGAGACGGGGTTTCACCGTGTTGACCAGGATGGTCTCGATCTCTTGACCTCGTGATCCACCCGCCTCTGCCTCCCAAAGTGCTGTGATTACAGGCTTGAGCCACCGCGCCCGGCCCCCCCTAAATTATTTTTTAAATGTTCAGTGGAAAGTTTGTGTGTGTGTGAAATTTGGCAATTAATGAATGTTAAGACGAATTTAACCAGTTGATTTAGGTTAAATAATCGCTTTCTCCCCCAGTCTATTAAGTGTACAAAAGAAAATAAAAGATGAGGAAATATAAGGTTTTGTTTTTTTTTTTTTTTTTTGAGACAGAGTCTCGCTCCGTCAACCAGGCTGGAGTGCAATGACGTAATTTCAGCTCACTGCAACCTCCACCTACCAGGTTCAAGCGATTTTCCCTGCCTTAGCCCCCTGAGTAGCTGGGATTTCAGGCACCCGCCACCATGCCCAATTAATTTTGTATTTTTAGTAGAGGCGAGGTTTCACCATGTTAGCCAGACTGGTCTCAAACTCCTGACCTCACGTAATCCACCTGCCTTGGCCTCCCAAAGTGTTGGAATTATAGGTGTGAGCCACCACACTCGGCTCCCTGTTGATTTTTAGTAACAACTAATGAACCAATACTGACACATTATTAACTGAAATCTATTCTTTATTCAGATTTTCCCCCAGCTTTTCCTAATGTCTTTTTCTGTCCTGTTATCCTATCCAGGATACATTATATTTAATTGTCATGTTTCCTAAGTCTCCTCTTGACGGCTACAATATCTCAGTCTTGTCTTTTGTTTTTCAAATAGTGGTGGGTACTTCTTCATGTCTTTCCTTATTTTTGATGACTTTAATAGTTTTGAGGAGTACTGGTCAGGTATTTTGTCAAGTGTCCTTTTTTTTAGTCCGTGGCTGCTGCTGACACAATACTACAGCTTGAACATTGTAAACATCGGGAATTTATTTCTCGAAATTCTTGAGGCTGGGAAGTCCAGGATCAAGATTTGTGACAAGACACCCACAGGTTTGGTGTTTGGCGAAAGCTGGCTCTCTGCTTTTATGGTCGTGTTTTTTTACTGCCTCTTCAGGAGTGGATGGACAAGCACTGTGTCCTCACACTGTGGAAGGGACTAACTATTTCTCTCAAGCCTTTCCACAAGGCTCTGCCCTCATGACTACCTATGGGCTCCACCTCTTAATCATCTTAAATTGAGAGTTAAGTTTTTCATTTTTTCTTAATTTTTTTTTCTTTTTTTTTTTTTTTTTTAAAGACGGTGTTTCACCATGTTGGTCAGGCTGACCTTGAACTCCTGACGTCAGGTGATCCGCCTGCCTCGGCCTCCAAAGTGCTTGGATTACAGGCGTGAGCCACTACGCCCTACTAAGAGTTAAGTTTTTTTTTTTTTAGAGACGGAGTTTCACTCGTGTTACCCAGGCTGGAGTGCAATGGCGCGATCTCGGCTCACCGCAACCTCCGCCTCCCGGGTTCAGGCAATTCTCCTGCCCCAGCCTCCTGAGTAGCTGGGATTACAGGCATGCGCCACCATGCCCAGCTAATTTTTTTTGTATTTTTAGTAGAGACGGGGTTTCACCATGTTGACCAGGATGGTCTCGATCTCTTGACCTCGTGATCCACCCGCCTCGGCCTCCCACAGTGCTGGGATTACAGGCTTGAGCCACCGCGCCCGGCCATGAGAGTTAAGTTTTAATACGAATTTTGGGTGGTCACAAAACATTCAAACCATAGTATCCTTCAACTGGGATTTGTCTGTTTTTTTTTTCATATTTAGAATGGGGTAAATAAGTGGGGAGAGATTCCATATTTAAACTTAATCTATAGAGTCAGTGCAGTTCAATTAAAATCCCAGTGAGTTATTTTGTAGATACCTACGAACTGATAATAAAATTTATATGGAAAGATAAAAGACCTACTATAGTCAGTACAATCCTGAAGAATAAAGTTGAAACACTCATTACCTGGTTTTAAGACTTTAGTATGAGACACGGCAGTAATCAACACAGTGTGGTAGTGCTGAAAATTAGACACACTGGCCGGGTGCGGTGAGCTTCATTTCAGCACTTTGGGAAGCTGAGGTGGGCAGATCACCTGAGGTGTCGGGAATTCAAGACCAGCCTGGTTAACATGGTAAAACCCCGTGTCTACTAAAAAATACAAAAATTAGCTGGGTGTGGTGGTGGGCACCTGTAATCCCAACTACTTGGGAGGCTGAGGCAGGAGACACACTTGAACCCAGGAGGTGGTGGTTGCAGTGAACTGAAATCATACCACTGTACTCCAGCCTGGGTTACAAGACTCTGTTTCAAAAAAGAAAATAAAAATGCTGGGCACAGTGGCTTACGCCTGTAATCCCAGCACTTTGGGAGGCTGAAGCAGGAGAATCTCTTGAACCCAAGAGGTAGAGGTTGCAGTGAGCCGAGATTGTACCACTGCACTCCAGTCTGACTCATCTCAAAAAAAAAAAATCTGGACAAATTGATTAGTAGAGAGTGATCAAAATAGAAAGCCCAGAAATAGACTTACTGAACTACAGTTAACGAATCTTAAAGTAGCCAAGGTAATCTAATGTATTTCTCTACCTCAGATTGTAGCATGAACTAGTGGAAATTTCATTAACCAATTCAGTATGACTGTAAAGTCATATTTGAATTTTTCTGTATTTGCAGTGGGAGATTTTTTTCTCCACTAGACATTTCAGTTTCTGGACCTTTTTTTTTTTTTAGATGGAGTCTTGCTCTGTCACCCAGGCTGGAGTGCAGTGGTGCAATCTTGGCTCACTGCAACCTCTGCTTCCCAAGTTCAAGCGATTGTCCCGCCTCAGCCTCCCTAGTAGCATGTGCCACTATGCTCGGCTAAGTTTTGTATTTTTAGTAGAGATGGGTTTTCACCATGTTGGCCAGGCTGGTCTCACACTCCTGACCTCTGGGTGATCCACCTGCCGCGCCTTTCCAAAGTGTTCGGATTACAGGTGTGAGCCACTGCGCTTGACCTGGAACTTTTAAATCACAGTGTAATACAGTGAAATTCAGTTACACTTAGATCATGTTTTGATACAGTACAAATCTCTTTATTGTTTTACTTTTGATAATTATGGCATATCTTTAGAAGTCAAAAATAACTGTAACGTAATAAAAAGTTGGAGTTGGGGAATTAAAACAGCTGGTTAAAAAAGTAAAGTTTAACCTGGCAGGGGAGATAGCATGATGATGAAGGTGGTTTTCCCATGGTGAGGCTTCCATTGCACTCCGGATGTGCTGACCCCTGCGATTTCCCCAAATGAGGGAAACTCCACTGCATAATTTGTCATAGTAGGGGACTGCGTTCGCGCTTTCCCCTGGTTTAAAAATAAAAAAAGTAAAGTTTAGACTTTTTGTATAGTGTACATGACTAATTTTAATTCTGCATTTTTCAGAATTTCTTGAGGTTGGCAAAAAGCAGCCTGCTCTGGATGTTCTTTATGATGTTATGAAAAGTAAGAAACATAGAACATGGCAAAAGATACACGAGCCAATTATGTTGAAATACTTGGAACTTTGCGTGGATCTTCGCAAGAGCCACTTGGCTAAGGAGGGGTTATACCAGTATAAGAACATTTGTCAACAGGTACAAACAGAACTGGGTTGTGTATTTTTAATAAGTGCTTTTAGTAATCTGCAGAAGAGCTAACCTTTCAAAGTTAATATATTGTATTTCTATTAAAATTTGCCTTGAAAGCATAGTTCATTGGAAAAATAGTTTTAAATTCTGAAAAGTTTTTGTATTTTTGGATTAGGTGAACATAAAATCTCTAGAAGATGTGGTTAGGGCATATTTGAAAATGGCTGAGGAAAAAACTGAAGCTGCTAAAGAAGAATCCCAGCAGATGGTCTTAGATATAGAAGATCTGGATAATATTCAAACTCCTGAGAGGTATGTGGTTTAGACATTTAATAAATGCTTTGTTACTTTAGTGTTTTCCTTTACATGGGTCTTCATCTAATTTTAATCTTCGAAGTTTTGAATGTATGGTAACCAATAAATTTATGTATGTAATAATTAAAATTCATAGAAGTAGAAAATGATAAGCCTTAAGATAGAAGGGCAAATACTAATTTAAATGATCATAATGCAGATTGGGAATTCAGGGAGTAGATAGTGACACGTTTGCAGTATATGCAAAATTGTGGGAAGAATTTGCACTGTTTTCTGATGGAAATTGTTGGTTTTGGTTTTTAATCATATGGCAAAGTAGGAAACTGTCTAAAATTGCTTTCAACATTTTTTTCTGTCTTTGTAGTGTTCTCCTAAGTGCTGTAAGTGGTGAAGACACTCAGGATCGTACTGACAGATTACTTTTAACTCCATGGGTTAAATTCCTGTGGGAGTCTTACAGGCAGTGTTTGGACCTTCTTAGAAACAATTCTAGAGTAGAGCGTCTTTACCATGATATTGCCCAGCAAGGTAAGATGAGAAGATCAAATCTGAGTGACATGCTGTGAAATTGACTGAGGAGTAAATTTTGCAAATGAACCCCTTTTCTGAAGTGTGCTTAAAATGAACTAGTTTTTATTCTTACTGAAATGTTGGCATTCACATGAATATTAAATGACTGAAGCCTGTGCGGTGGCTCATGCCTGTAATCCAGGCAGGCAGATCATTTGAGGTCAGAAGTTTTGGGGCAACCTGGCCAACATGGTGAAACCCCTTCTCTACTAAAAATACAAAAAAATTAGCCGGGCATGATGGTGCATGCCTGTAATCGCAGCTACTCTGGAGGCTGAGATGGGAGGATTGCTTGAACCCAGGAGGTAGAGATTGCAGTGAGCCAAGATGGCACCACTACACTCCAGCCTTGGTAACAGCAAGACTCTGTCTCAAAAAAAAAAAACAAACCAAAAATGACTGAATAAGAAATTAGTTTGTTTTACTCTTTAAAGGAGTTTTGAGTTTTGTGTGAATTGTATGTAATTGATGTCTGAAAGATCTTTTTTTTTTTTTTTTTTTTTTTTTGGCGGGGACGGAGTTTCGCTCTTGTTACCCAGGCTGGAGTGCAATGGCGCGATCTCGGCTCACTGCAACCTCCACCTCCTGGGTTCAGACAATTCTCCTGCCTCAGCCTCCTGAGTAGCTGGGATTACAGGCACGCACCACCATGGCCAGCTAATTTTTTGTATTTTTAGTAGAGACGGGGTTTCACCATGTTGACCAGGATGGTCTCGATCTCTTGACCTCGTGATCCACCCGCCTTGGCCTCCCAAAGTGCTGGGATTATAGGCTTGAGCCACCGCGCCCGGCCCTATTTTTCGTTTTACACAAACATCAGTAACCATGAAATACATTTTACAGTCATTTTGGAATTCTCCATGTGACTGGAACAATAAACTCCCAACCCACCCCCCTACCCCCACGTTTTTTTAAATAGGAAACTGAAATTCTCTACTTTTGCTTTTT